GGGCGCCAAGCATCCTCTCTCATTTACCCCCCTTACCCCAGCCCCATCCCTTGCCTAATTGCAGGCGTATCCATTAGATTCAACCGGATTCACGTTTTAGTTTAACAGCGAGGGCACGTTCAATGACGTAGACAAGCATATCAGCTACGTGCAGCCATATTTAAATACATCAAGGCAATTAGCGCATCAAAATATGCAAATCCCTCTTACTACATAGTCCGCCCGGCCGCAGTCGGAGTATTTCCCCTCAGCCTGTTCTTGGTGCTTTGCCGTATTGAAAGCCAACATAGCTTTGCTTTGTCTTCCAAAGAAGCTTCCCTAATGTGAGCAGGACAGAATTAAAGGGAAACATGAAGAGAAGGAGAACCCAGGCTCCTGCGTGGAAAACCGCCCATGCGTAATGAGACGACCCGCTCCGCCATTCTCAATTCTCCGACGCCGTTGGCTCTGGTGTGCGTATTATTTTTAATATTGATGCATATTCAGAGGGTAGATTTGCATTACACACTTCTTGCTTGCTGTTTATTGCGACACATTTCCTCATGTTTTGACCGTTTAGATCTGTGCAGAGCTCCTGTGCACCCTCGTAGCGATGATTTTCTTTATTTTTCAAATGCAGTAATCAAATTATTTGACAAATGCTGGCTTATATTAAGCCGACAGCGAAGATAGCGACGCCACTGTGTGCTTAAGAATTAAATAAAACACTGGATCTTAATGTAAATCGGCGATGTCTTTTGAATACGTAAATGCACCATGCATGAACAAAGAGCTCTCTGGTGGGCAAACAATGGGCACTCAGCATAGGTGATAGCTTAGAGGTGATACTGATACGACTGTCTCGGAGCAAGAAAATGACAGTGTCGAAAAGTAATAACTAAAAAGTCTGCTGTCCCGTTTGTGAGGGAAAAAAAAACAGTGACGCAGCGCTGACATTTAGGTTGCAATTGCTCAGCCTGTCTCCTTAGTGTCCGTGCACGCGCACAGAGCTGATGCCAGGGACGAGAGCGCGAATGCAAGTCCTCTTGGAGAAAAATATCCACAAACATGATCACATGTTTATATGAAACCAAGTAGAAATGCGTTAAAACATCGCAGTTTTCACCTTTTTTCTCCTCTCTTTCCCTCTTTTTCTGATTCATTGTGTTTCCGCACGGGTCTTAAATGAAAAATCTGACCACTTACCTCCAAGTTATCATAATCCAGCGCTGCTGTTGCTGCTGCTGCTGTTAATTTGTGTTTGGTTATAGGTCACTTTTCGATCAAGTTGCTAGGACGTTTTCCGGGAGGTCAAACTTTCTTCTAGCAGCCACAGCAGATGCAGCCCCTATGGCTACTCCCCTTGTCATTGAACCCTATTCTTAAATTGCTCGTGACTCAACACCAATGGTCAGGCTGGCTCACGTAAAGATATTCAAAGCCACAAGAGTCCGTCACCCCACCTATGCGTGGCTTCTAACTAGAAAGCAGCCTAACATTACTTGTTATAAAAAAAATATTAGAATATTTGGGAGTCCATTCATTATCCTTTGTTGCATCACACACGTATTCATCACCATCACCAAAAACCAAAATGTAACGCGTAGGCCTTTATCGTTGGAAATGATAAATAACTGAGCATATTGATTAGTGGTCAATTTTAAGAATGTTTAGTGTTCACTCTGGTGCTATAGCCTGAACAAAATGAACGATTCTTGCGGTGATAGTTATGTTGTGATTTAATGATGACGATGTGAAGAAAGGTTTTTTATAGTAAAGGGTCTGGAAAGGAGGCTTTCTCTTTTTTTAAACAAATGTAACCTTTTATTATTTTACTTGTTATCCTTTTAGTGTAACCAAAACGGAAAAAGAAAAAAAGAAATGGATCTGCGCAATTCGACAAAAGCAAAAGAAAGAGCTTATGATGTTATACGTTTTAATTGGGGGACCACTACGTTTCTAGGCACGAACTTACATTTACACTTTCCAGTTCTGTAATCGGAGTTGGGGAGGAGATCAATTCGCTGTTCCGTCATCCTCATTTGAATTGTATATAGAAGAGACACCTTCACGGTGGATTCCCACTGTTCCTCATGGTAAAATCACTTGTTTGCGTGGATAATACAGCCTTTATCTCGGGTCTTATCAGGACAACAGATCCCCAGCAAATGAGACAATGTGATTTCAAGTAGGGGCACAGAAAATCGAAAGGCATGTCGTTTTTAGGAATAAAAAATATATATATATATATATTATTGAGAGATGAAGCAGTGATTCGGTTCTCAACGTGCTGAATTTAATCCTCGTTTAAAAGGGAGCAAATCAATGAGCGAAACCAGTTTGGATCAGATAACATTAACTGATCTTCGAAAAGACAAAAATAAATAAATAAACAAAATAAAATAAAAAATATTGCCAATTTTCCAATTTGAGGCCAGGGTAGACGTCAGCCTACGATGCAGTTTGTAAGAGGACCCGGGGCGCTTTGTCTGGCACATGAAAACGGTATTCAGAAACTGGCGTAATGAAACACCTCCAAGGTAAAGAACCAGCCGAGCTATTTTTAAACTGAATACCTGAAACTGTAAAAGTGCGAGGTCTCTCTTGCAGCTGTGTTCAAAAATAAAAACTTTTTATCTGTTGTAGTAACAAGAAAAACTGTATTATTATTATTATTATTATTATTATTATTATTATTATTATTATTATGTCACAGTTGTTGGGTTTTTTTTTCCTTTTCTTTGCAACACAGTACACATTATCATTGTTTTCACAATCGGATATTAAGCAGTAATTGTTAGAATTAAATGATAATAAATAGTGTATTATGTATTTACACTTACCTCAAAGAAAAATGGATGAAGCAGCTGGTGGAGTACACGGGACCATTCAGGGTCTGGTCTACAGCTTCTTTTGGAGAAAGACGGTGACGAAGATCCAGGTTGTGAGGGCATCGACTAAACAGCTAAACGGTGACATCTAGTGGTGATTTCTAGTTTGAGTACTCACGGTGAACGAGTGGGCAGCCTACAAGGGTGAACGAGTACCTGTTCCTACCAACGCCACACTGAACTTGCGCAATCCAACGTCATGCGTGCAATTTAATGTACATTCATGATCTTAAAATAAGCCTGATGCTGGAAACACACATGCCCTCAGAACTCTTTCACTTTTAATGTTACAAAAGCAGCAACTGAAGCCCTAACTGGGCTTTAAGCTAAGAATGTATTTTAGATATTGTTTCCCCCACCATGTAAATGTACAAGTGCTGTCTTGATTTTAATTTAATTTATTTATTTTAATTTATTCACCCTGAAGGATTTTTTACAATTCGTTTTTTTTTTCCTTTTTTCATTTCTATAGTTTTTTTTTTTTTTATCAAAAAAGTGGCAGCCCGTTTGCAGATTCAGGTTTATTGCGTCAGTTTGAAAACTGTGAAAAATGCTGTCACAGTATATTATTTTTGATAGATAATTCATTATGTTTGGTCTGCAGTGACCTTACAAACCTTCTTTCACACGTTACTTGTAGAAAACTCTTCAAAATCACTTCAGTGTGTCTGGTATTAATGTAATGGCGAAAGAAAATGTGAACATTTAGACAGTTTAGGAAACAGTGTCAATAAAGATGCTGTAAACATTAAAACTGTTACTTGCCGGCATCTGCACACTCCTGCTCCAGTCTGCACAAGTGAAGCAGTCAGTACAATACGTCGGAGCATTAGCTTCATTGTTATATATCATATATCAGTAACTCCTTTACTTTTAGATCGTGCATAATTGTTTAAAGCATATGCATGTAGACATGTTGCTGATGTAGCAATTACTTGTGAAATAAAACAATATCCAAAACGTGTTGAATCTGTTTCTTCGATTTGCCATCTTTAAATACGTGCAATTAATAGATGACGTGTGACAAGTTTTTGTATCATTTCTTGTTACCTATTAAAGAAAAAAAAAAAACATATTTCTCAGCGAAAAAAACGACGGCCAAATTGTAGACTACAAACCGAGTAGGGAGGAAAAACGGTAGAAAAGCAAACGAAACCTAAATGCAATTAGTTTCTCGATAATTCTGAAACCATCCTACAGGTAGGCCTATGTTCACAGCAACCCACTGCAACGTTTCTCTTCCTGGAAAATATATTTATTCGTATCGATTCACAATTTTTCTGCATGTGCTAAGTAAATAAACAAATAACGCTAACGTTAAGAAGGGATAACTTCAAGGAACAATGACTTCAGACTAACAAGAAAAGATAGAAAAGATAGAAAAGGGGCCTTTAGAAAATATAGACGGTAGACATATATTATATATATCTAAAAAAAAATAGAGAGATTTATATAGAAGAAAAAAATGAAAAGAAAAACGCTATCAAAAGGATTTCTTTGGCATTACAAAATGTTCGAAATCTCGCGATGGATTTATTTTTTATTTTTGTAAAACTGTAATTCGTTTGTTTTTTTCCTCTGTGTGTGTCTGTGTGTGTGTGTGTGTGTGTGTGTGTGTGTGTGCCTGTCTATATGGGTATTCACTAATGTTATTACATTTCCATTCGAAAAAAGTGATTCTTCCAGGTAAGCTATACGGACCTGTACTGCCTGCAGAAAAATGCACGAACAGTCAGGAAAATTTCTTCATCTTTTTGCGTTTTGATAACAACACAACCCAATAATTGTTACAACAAAGTTACGCTATATTTTGGGGGTCAGTCATTGCGAAATAACTGTTATAAGAAAAGCTGAAAAAAATAAAGACTGTCATGGATTTTATAGAATAAGCTGTCCACTCTTTCTTTGATTCACACTTTTGAGTTGTTTTGGTTTTTCCCCACTTTTTTATTGAAGAAAAAGCGAGTAGGACAGGAGTAGGCCTATACCTTTACCTTGTTTCTTGTCGTGTGGGAGCATATGACTGTGATTGCATTGTTTAGGATCTATGTGCTCTCATGTTTAAATGTAGCTTGATTTACTCCTCAGAAAGACGATGCCACTGTAATTGTGAGGCCGACTGTTAAAAAAAACTGTTTAAAATATTAAATAAATGTTGTTCCTGTTGCTTTTTTACAATTATTATTTATTTGTCATTATAAATATAAAAATGCATCTATTGAAAAAAATGTGGATGTCAAATTATCTGCGAGTGAAGTTGCTATGGCACCATGTCCCTTCTTCATTTCCTCATGGAAGCTCTTTGTGTTGATATGTTTTTTGAGTCTGCATGGTATGAAAGCAATCGCTGTATGGGATGCATGTAGAAACAAGTCAAACACAATGAAATCACACCAAGTCACATCAGGATAACTAAGAAAGCCAGTAACTTTACTGAAATCTCTGCAAAATACAAATAGCCTTTCCCTCCTGCAGAGGAGACTTTTATTTCATCCCCATACGTTTTCACTACATACAGCTGAATCAAGTCCCTTGAGTTACAGAGATGTGATTTTAATTTAATACCATCTTAGTCTCAAGTGGCGACAAAGGCCAGCTTATGCCGCTGAAAGCCGCTCCTGCATTCCAAAAAACCTTAGTTACAAACGTCCGCCCCCATCATCAGGTTTATACAAGCTACATTGATACTACAGACTGACTTTTTAAGTATTTTAACATATTACTCTTTTTTTTTTTTAAATTTCAGCTTTTGAGTACAACTTAAATAAACCACAAACACAGAGGAGCAACAAAGAATCCCGTAGCATGTGAATGTTGGGACCTTAAGCAATTGTTATTACACATGGCTGTACAGGTGAATGGTCTCCCCTTTGCACGTTAAGTGACTTATCAAAAAATCAGCTGAGGTACTGCTTGGGTCAATTTTGAGGTACCAACATTTAGTCTGATATAGTAATGACAAAGAACAACTGATCAACAGATGAAGAAAAAAATTGGCTTCAAATTGAACAAATGTAGAAAGAAGAAGAAGAAAAAACAACATCAAAGATATAAAGACAAGCTTTCTCCATGTCTTTGGTTAAAAATACTGTCAAAACTATAGCACTCTAATTAACTGTCTGGACATGTTGGCATTATTTTATTCAGCGAGCAAGCAGTGTGTAATGTTGATTGATGAAGTGAAAAACAAGTACAGCTTTCACACGGGCCTGAATGAGTCCGAGTTAAGTAACAAATTGTAAATAGAAAATGCGTTTTTCCTTTTCTTTTTGTTTTTTTTTTCCCATGTAACCTTTTTCGATACGCTGCACAGGGAGACAAATGAACAAGAAAACAGGTAAATTAATACGACTCCTATGGACAATGCAGTTTGATGGCTAAAGCTACAATAACTAACTGAAAGTGAAATGTGAAAACAGTTGTGAATTTAAGCAGAATCTTTTATTATCTTGTTTCAATGCTTGCAAAAAAAACAAAAAAACAAAAAAAACAAAAACAAAAACCCATATATGAATGTGAAAATAAAAGCTGACTTTACAACACAGAAATGCCACTGGCTTTGGTTTCTCCACACTTATGCTGCCTGAAACATCATGTTTATTTTTTTCCCAACCTTTTTTTTTCTATTGAAGTTTAAAAAAAAGAAGAAGAAGAAGAAAAACACTGTTATAGAGGCTCTGCCCCATTTGACTACACAGACTGTATACAGTAACAACCTAGTGATCCTGCATGAAATATGCACATAGAAATATCATAACACTTAAGTGACAGCAGATACGGGTGTGGGAGGCGGAGAGATATGTGGCTAGTTTCATTGTTTAAAAAAGAGAAAATCAAAGCTATTCATCAAGAATAAACAATTGTGCTTCTCCCATACCAGCATGATCAGTTTGTTCTTTTTTGTGTCTTACGCTGAACTGTCTGTGACAGTGTGGTAAAGGATGTGGAACCCTGTTTTCGAGACTGGAGCGACACAGAATTAAATTAGGTTTGAAAACAAGAGTACTTAATCACGATGCATAAATCGCATTACGTTAATGCGATTCAAAGGAAGATTTTACAGTTTGCGTCTGAGCAACATCTCCAACACAAGGTAGAGTGGGTCGAAAATTGAAGGTGGTATTCAAAATCGATGAGGTCAAATCTCTGTTTTATGACTGCGATTATTAAATTATAATAATTTGGACTCCTAACGAAATATCCGGATGCATAAAAATGTATTCGGAGACTCCGGCTTTGTCATATTTCCTCATCAGTGTGACAATCGTGTACGTTACGTGTCAACATTTATTTCTGTGTGGTCTCCAGATTCAGCCTCGTGACATTTTCCACTAGAAATGAGGTTTTTCAGCATTCAGGCTTCAACCCTGGCAATGCTTTCCAGCTGGTTTTTAAGGTTAGTCTAAACACCCCGCCCAAACAGCCCTGTTCAGAGTTCAAATGAAACAAACCAGACAACATGTGCAACAGCACATAGAAACTTCACTAAGAAACCAACAAAAAAAAATCATTATTATATATATTTATATATTAGAAAGCTATACACAAGCATGTTAATTTCACAGATTTTTTTTTTTAAAAGATTCTTAATATTACCATTATTATATATAATAAGAAATACACGTTTAAAAACAAACCTCTACAAAGATTAAACAGTTCAGCAAAGCATTGGATCTCAGTCTGTTTTTCATGGCTTGGGGCTTGAAGCCCTGTCATTTCCCCTCTGGGTGAACTATCCATCTCTTATTGGCAAAGCTATCAAAAAACACATTCTGGCTTATAGAAACTACAAAAAGCCACAAAAATGCTTTGCATTTTATTCCTTTCATATGAAAATATAAGCAAGTGTATTGTACAATTGTTTTTTTCTCTTTTTTTTGTTTATCAATACTGAATAGTTAATACTAGATCCAGAGATTTTCTTGATTACGCCGACATAGCTCTTAGATCAAAGAGTGGTCCTCACTCCGTTCTTTAAGGGGAGCACGAAAACGATCAAGGGTTCCACACATCTAGCATCGGGTTTTCTCGTTTACCTGTACAATCCTTCAAATGTTGCATAATAGCTTTTTCATTTAGTGAGTAAATAAATCTTGTAATGTCTGGCGACTTTTGACCCCAGGCCCTTTTACCCCTTTGACCCGCTATTTACATAAATACGTTGAACCTGCAACATGACATCATCTAATGTTAACACACATTTTTGCAAGGTAAAACTGCAGAGAAGGTCTATAGCAATGAAACTGATACTGTACACATGTATTGTTTGTCCAACTCAAGTGCTAAGGTGTTTTTCACTGGACACAATCACGCTCATCTTGTTTTTTTTTTTTGTTGTTTTTTGTTGGTTTTTTTTGTCTCTATTCACTGATATAGCACTGGGGCAAATTGTAAGTACGTTTTATGAAACAGAGTACCTGACCTTTTTTTTTGTATTTGTTGATATGCACATCTGTAGACACGTGTTACACGCGTTAAGATATATGCATACATGATTCTTTTTTTTTTCCACAATACAATTTATGCATAGTTCCCCAACAAAAATACCCCCAGATCCCATCCCAAACAACAACTACCCTCCCAAGCCCCCATTACAACACCCAACTGCTTTATATAATGTCAATATGTATAACACGCACACACACGCACACTCAGCAAAATCAAAACAAGGAACAAAAAATAAGGAAAAGAAATTACAAACAGATTTTTGGAAAGGGTTGTCCCTTTGCTTTCCTTCAATAAAGAGAAAAAAGGAGAGAGGCCATGGGGTTGGGCGGTGAGTGACTCATGAGATCGAGTGCGAGGAGGAAGAGGAGGGAGCTGACTGTGGGGCATCGTAATGCTGCATTGTCGGGAGCTCGGGGCAACTTGGGGCACTGCAGAGGAGTGGACAGTGCAATCATGTCGCCCATCCTTCTGACAGGCGTACCCGTTTGATGGAGGGGCTCTCACGCTCATCCAGGGCGGGCCGGGCCAGTCCCAGAGGTGAGTGGAACTCATTCCTGTGCTCATCGCGGTCGCTGCCCTCATGGGAGCTGCTACAACTGCTCAGGCTATCAACAGGGGAGCGTCCCGAGTCCTGGCGGGACGAGGGGTTCTGGGGAGGTGGCACCCCGCCACCGTAGCCCCCCGGTGTGCTGCTGGTGCGATCTCTAGGAGGAGAAACAGGTTCGGACTTGATGTGGAGGCTTTGAGCAGAGGGCAGGGACAGATTTGAACCCTGACATAAGTGAGAGCTAGAACAATTTCTGTTGGAAGGAAAGGAAACGCAAAGGGGTTACAGAGTTACAGAGCAAGAAACAAAGTGATTTTAAAAGTCAGCTCGTAACACGCACACATACACACATGCCGGCATGCGTACATACACACTCGTGAAAAAAAAAAAGAAAAAGTGAGGTGTCACTTGTGTTCGATCTTGCAAGTGAAGATTGAGAACAGTAAAGTAGATTTATGAGTGTGGCATTTCAAAAACTAAAAAATCTCTGGGAGTAATTCATGTGTTACTTCATGCACTTCCCAACAACACCTCAGAGTGAGCTCTGTGCACTCACCCTAGCTGGCCCAGCGCTGAATGCTGCATGTTCTGAAGGTGTTGCTGTTGCCACCCACTCATTGAACCAAGGTGTAGAGAGCTGCCACTGTTGAAGCCAGACAGGGAGGACAGGTCTGTGCTATTCAGGGAGTACTCTGTGTGCAAACACATACGAAAAAGAAGAGGAAGATTCACATTATAGTTTGTTCAATGAAGTGAAAAAAACAAACAAAGTTGGAGCTCTGGTAAATCCTGCTGTGACATGAACGTGTTCAAGTCACTGGGTGGGACAATATCACCCTCTGCTGTTAGATTGCTGTATAACACCCATTTGCACACAGAAAAGAAAAGCTTGGTATACACAATATAGAGTTTTAAAATAAATTTGGATTTGATGGGTTATACAAACTGCACAAAATAACTCTATGTTTACAGACACACTGGGCAACGTACCGGTACCATAAGAAGTAGAAATGGCAGATGGGTAACCGCCCATGCCTTGTCCTGGTAGAGTAGGAGTTGCTACTGATACCACTGGGGTGGCCAGTGACTGAGCAGACTGAGAGTTGTTTATTCTCTGGTTCTGTGGCAGAGGAAGAGAAGACAGAGAGAAAAAAGGGGAAGATGGGAGAGGCTTGAGAACATAAAATTTACTTCCAGACAAAACAAACAAAAAAGTAATAAACCAAGAAAGTTTTTTTTTCTTTCTTTCATTTCTTTCTTTCACTCAACAGATGCTGAAAGAATGAATGTGATGCCAACTTCTGGAGAAATTAATCACTTGACATGCGGCAAGGCTGAACCCTGCCAACCCTATCATTTACCACCCTTTTTCCGAGGGCCTACTGTCGCTATAGTAACACCGCCGGTTTCCACGGCAACGCGGGGTAGCAAAGGCAAAGGAAAGGCACTTTAGTGAGGCAGAGGGGAGGGTTTGTCAGAAAATCATGGAGGTTTGATGCAACATGAAAGTGTACTCTTTTGTTGCCTTTCATTTCTACACTCTGAGCGGTCCTGTGAGTTGCACCTGTGCGACACACAATTCTCCATGCAGGTGAAAAAATATGAGGAAGAAAGGGAGGAATGGATACACACGCGCACACACACACGCAAACACACACAAATAAAAAGGCCAGGTTGCTTTTACTCTGGCGCACCACTGGATGGCACCATGTGCCCTCAAAAAACATCGCACTGAGGCGACACTGAGGCCTTCAGCAGAGTCAGCAGCAATAAAGGTGAAAGTTTCTCTGCAGTCAGGATGGGTTTTCTTGCAGTAATAAGCCCTTTAGTCAAAGCAAAACTGGATTCAAATTAAGAGGTTAGTATCAGGGGACTGCATCGCTCTAGGATCATTATGCTTCTTAGAGGTTTTTTTTTTTTTTTACTGGAAAACTCGACAGCTTCAGAATGTTTCGACTGTTTCAGGGTTGTTCTTTCTTTTTTTTTTTAATCTCTGATTTTGAGTTGCAGTCTGACTTACCAATAGCAGATCGACATCCTCAGACTGATGGCATTGAAAGGGGAGGGTAATACATTCAAATTAGTGAGTGTAGGTGAGCACACACAAGTGGTGGTGGCTAGGCGTGGATCTAGGGATGGAGCTGCATTGGAATTGAGCCAACGGAAGCAGAGCTAATGTGAAAAGAGGATGCTAACAGCTATTGTAACTCTACTAACGTAACACACTCATTTATGGGAGGGAAGAAAAAGAAATAAGGGGGGCCTTTGGAAGAAGCATCAGCATACGCAAACAGACACAGCAGAAGTGATACACTGTAACTGCCAGAATATCAGCCTTGGGCCAAAAGTACATTTTAAAGAAAGGCTTTGGTTTAACAAGCTGCCAAGACTAATCAGAGAAACGTGTACCTTAAGTCACACTTATCACAAGCATAACCTCATCAACCCAAGTCTGATATGATAGGATGAAAGCAGCAGAGAGGACATGAAAGGAAATAAACAATAACAGCCAAACCTGACAGGATACCTCCCCCCACTCCCCCCCACACCCCTAGAAAGGTAGCAGGATATGCAGGAGGGAAAGTGGATGAGGAAAGGAAGCAGGTTGAGAGAGGGATGCAACCGCTACTCACAATGGACGGCATGTTGTTCTTGGCACCAGGGGGGATGAGCACACGTAGGTCAGGTTTGCGGTTGTTCATGCCCAGGTTCATGGGTGGGGGAGACTTAGTCTGCATGTTCTTGTTCATGCCACCTGGAGAAACCAGCAGACCAGGCGAGTTGCGGTGGTTCCCATATCCATTTCCTAAGAGAGAGCACAGGAAAAAGGCAGAGAAACATTTAATACACCAGTGTTCTCCTTTGGTATTTCTAGGAAGGCGCACTTACATGTTATTAAACCTGTGTCAAAAGTTTAATGAATCTCAAAACTCCTGCTGTCCGTGACGGTGTGACCTAATTATGAACTACAGGAATCCATTTTCACCTTGTACTCCCTTTCAGTGTTTCTGCCTCATCTTCACTTCCTGTGGTAGGAAATTTATTAGCGCACCGTCCTGAAGAGAAGACTTGTAAATGGTGCTTCATGGAAGCGGTGCACACTGCTGGCGGAGCAGATGTGCAGTTTTCGTCTTCATTACCAGTTTTTAGTGCCCGCACGACAGCACCTCACCCTAAAACTCTGCTACCGTCACTGAAGGCTATATTGTTCCCGTTTCAGCCAGCGAATCTTGCCGAAACATCTAATTTTGGGTAGCGAGACCACAGAGGGATTGGGTAAATCGTAGTTAAACACAGTTCTGAGGCTCTTCTAGACAAAAGTCGTGTCACTAAACCTGGATTCCTCTAAGCATGGAAGGTCAAGCATACAGCACCAGTTTCTCCCTCAAAAAAAAAAGAAAGAAAGAAGAAAGGTAGTCCTAGCAACATCATTAAAAAATTGAAAGTGGAGACTTATTGCAAGCAACATGGTCTTTGTTTCTAACCCAATCCCACAGACTGCTTTCCCCCCCCTTCCATTCCTTCCCTCTTCCTAGGGGTAGAACACAGGGCACTGTGTGGACGTTCCCACTTGAAAGACGGGCAGGAATTATACGTTAGACATAAATGAATTTCCTAATCATATACTCCAGGGGAAAATGAGTCACAGATGTCTTCCTGGGCAATTTCCCCTGCTGATCTTTGTTTAATTTGAGAGCGAGGTTTTTGTTGTTTTGAAATGAAAAGTCTCAAAAGCTCAATTTGAACAATCTGAAGAGTAAACGGCCGCTAGCAGTGAGAGAAAATGAGGCCGCCTGACAGAAAACGAGGAAAATAGTGTTGTGTTACTGTTGGCGCTGATGTGTGTGCCGACGCGTGATGCCTGGTATTAGCGCAGACTTTGTGTGTCACTGTATGTTTTGCTCTATGCGATGTTTCACGCTATAGGCGCCGTATGACTTGAGGCTCTGTGAGAAACGTTGCTTCTGCACGAGCCACGCGTATATGGGTGCACATGTGTGTTTTGTATTGGACCCTCTTAGTTCCAATGTCAGTCTCACATTAGCAAAGAGGCAGCTGCCTCTTCAGTTTTCCCGCTCTCTCATTCTCATGGCTGGCCCTTTGTGAGATCGAGTGGGTGCATGTGGAGACAGATGAATGAGATCTCACACACACGTAACACACACCCTCCCAGCACACATACACATACTTTAGTAAATAACCCAGCAGGAAGTACATCACTGTTTCTGTACAGATGAATCAAAAAGACAGTGAGCAATGGAGAGACATTAATACACACTTTGGTCAAGATGACACGGACTTCATCTTGGTGACAGTCACTCAGACATCTGTGTATTGCTACCCTGTGGAGATGGCTGCAGTCCAGTCAATTATGTGCTGGATGACTTTAATCATGAGTGGCACAGGCCAGTCCTTTAGCACTTCAAAAGTAGAATCACAAGCCAATTAAGCTAATGAAGCGAGAACTGTGACTCAAATCGTTCTATTCTGCAGCGTGATCAACCTGATTTTAGGGCGCACGCATTCAAAAGAGACAGATGATAACCAGAGTTCATTTCCACTCTCCTCCTCTATTACTATTTTGCGCAGTCGAAGTGCGGCGCAGGCTGGCGTCAACTGTTTAGAGGAAGTACCAAAATTAAACACGGCCCAGCAGGGAGTCTTTTTGGCTGTTGCGTTAAACTCGATATAGGGAGAACAATATCTGATCTCAGATTCAGATAAATAAGGGGGTTTTTTTTGCTATTGCTGAGTTGTGTGTGTGTGTGTGTGTGTGTGGTTGGGGGGGATAGCTAAGGTCAGAGCTGAATGATTACAATCTGGCTCCATGGTTAGCTAGGGCACTTGGAGATACATGTGTTAGACAAGACTCCCCCCCATCCACCCCCCATCAGAGTGTTCTCTCTGTGTTTTTCCATCTTACACACACACAAAGCGCACACACAAAGGAGAGGTGTGGTTAAACTCATGTAGATTTTACTGTTACTGAACAAATTTCTGATGTCCTGTTGTGGTCTAACAGGCGCGCTCCGTTCTATTCCCCATACACACACTCTTCCGTTGCGGTTTGGCCAAACGCGCATTCAACCCTGAATTCTCCAACTGAACAAAGGTGTCACACTTGTTCAGTTGGTGTAGGATGCTGCCGAAACTGAAGCAGACACTCATCAGCTTGACCTTTTGTCAGTTACTATATGTGAGCGTGTGTGTGTGTTCCCTTTTTTTTTTAAAAAACTTGAACGAATGCGATCAGAGATGTCCTCGAGATGTGCCTTCTATGCAACTCATTTAAAGGAGGAATCGAGGCACGAGCAGAGTGAGAGGTGAGAGGAGATTCTTGTTAATTCCTCGCTGTGCGTTTGTGAGAAGCGTGTGGACAGATGACACTTGCTTAATTGCGCGCATTCAGGTGGAAAGGTTTTCACAAGCCGAGGTCTCCATCCGGACTTCTTTCCTGAGCGCTCTTCTCTCATCGTGCAAATTGACAGATCAAAACATGCTTAGATGTAGGCAAAAAATTTCCATAGGAAAGCCACGATGACTCAGCCCTTCAGTAACATGTCCTATTTACACTGGACTAGAATCACCAGGGGAACTTTTGTGATTTGAATATACCCCCCACATCTGGGTTTCATGTGGCTGATTTGCAGATCTGTTTCAGTTGAATATACAGGCATAATCCACTGGATTATGTACAGATATGACTCAACGCAGCATATCTTTGTGCACTGAGAGAAACAGCCGAGGTATTTATTTTATTTCTTTCATAGAAGCACAAAAGAAGTTGTGTGTTTCTGTGTGTCTTAAGGCTCCTCTTATGTTACTTAGGGCACATGACTGATGACACATACACGGGGCAGACGGCCACTCGTACAATCATCTTATCAAAACGTACACTGGGGAGAAGAGGAGTGTTAAAACAGTCCTCGAGGTGCCACAGTGGCTGTGCCACTTCATACTGATGATTTTAGAGGAACATCATTAAAATGGCTGACCGAGTTCGCAGAACACTTCCATCTGTGTTCCCCCCTCTGTTTCTCCTTTGCACACATGCTTCCACCATTGGTGGATATTCATCACTGTGCCCCCCCCCCCTCCACCCCAGATGAGATTTAAGAGAGCACTGAATGGAATCTTTCAGCTCCCACATGACTCTCTCTCCACGTTGTGTTTTTCGCCGCTGCTGAGCGACGCGCAGCGCTCACAGAGTGCCTCTGTTCCTTCAGCGCAGTGACACAAAGGCTACTTTTGAAGGATGCACTGCAAAACGCAGTCAATGGAACACACGCCACAACAAATGGGCCTGTTGTGCGCGCGTATGTGTTTGTGTGTGCGATGACTGTCCAGACAGAGAAACCAGGCACTGACCCCTTGTGATAGAGCCTCGGGGGCCAGACAAGGCTGCCCAGCTGTGACCCACTGACGCCCCCAATTCTCTCTTTTTTACACTCTGCACCGTACGCTGAAGTCGTAAAAATTCAACCCTTTAAAAGGGAGTCTCTTTGTTATAAACGCGGGCCTCACATGTCCTCGGGGACAAACCCATGTACAAACAGAAGTTAACACATAAGATGCTTTACACGTGTTTCCCAAATGTGTGTTGCTGAGCTACCGGCAGGATTATTATCCCACCGTGAGACTCTCTAAACACTGAATTAATTTGGTTCTAGACAGAAATCCGAGAGGTGACAGAAACAACAAGACAAATTTGTATGTGTACATTAAAGAATCTAGCAATATCTCTGTTATATCTGCTGCCTCAGGATATAATGCCATTTTACTTCTCTTCCCCCCACTTGCTCGACCATTTTATAGATGAACACAGGCAGGATGTGTCACAGCCCAGGCACTGAGCAAACATTCCCAGATGAACTCCACGACCACTAACTTCAACACATCATGGACAAAATCTCCACTCGGGTTTGGGTTAGTGTTAGTCATGCATTTTATGGCCCCAAGTGGGTGAGTGGGTGCCATGTATGTGTGTGAGTGGGTGTATGTGTGTGTGCATGTTAGCAGACATCTGTGTGTGAGCAGAGGAGGGCTTTCTTACCAGCACTGGTGCCTGCGCCAGTGGTAAGGTCGGCACCCATGAGGCCACCTGTAAGATGAAATAGAGAGCGCAGCAAAACGAGAGAAACCCATTAGAGGATAGACACCCACACTGGCTCCACTGCACCTTCTGTCTCTCGCTCGGTTTAATCACAATGTGCTGTGTGTGTGTGTGTGTGCGCGTGTCAGGCCGTCATATGTGCACTGACACCAGAAGCGGCGCAGCTTCCCACTCCAACTTGAACACGCTTAGCAACTGGACACTACGAGCGGATGCATTAAGCTGCCGTCCAAGAAAAATGACACATTATTATTTTTAAGGCATAAGAGGTGGATGAGTGGGAGGGTCCAGAGTGTGTGCGGTTTGGCATGGATGCTGCAAGCGCCAAAACTCATATTTAGTTTGCGCTGGCATTTCTAGCATCCAGTTGTAATGACAGGGTGAGGGTGTGGGCAGCAGCCTTCAGACCAAAGGGACAAAAAAAGGACTTTGGACAACAATAACAAACCAACAGGCCCAATTTGCTTATGTCACCAGCAACTCGGTGCCTATATATAAGGCCAGACGTCCTGTGTGTACAACAGAACACTAAATCAGCAGGCCTGTGGCTTGGGATTTTATATTGCATTAAATCATCAGCTCACTTTGAACAGAATACTGAGCAGGCAATATGTGAATATATGTGGGAGGGGACGACTTAGGATTCATTAACTGCCTTTAGGTGGAAAATTGTGGGTAGCTGTCATAAAATAAATTGCACATTTCTATGTGCGCCTCTATTAACATGACAGACAGGTACACACAGTTGAGAAGATAGACAGATGGGATAACAGCGTGTACATGGGTGCATGAGTGCGTGCGAGACCCGACCTGTATTACCTGCACTGGGGGGTCTGTGTGTAACTCCAGGAGACATGCTGTTTCTCTGTAGGCCGTGGTGTGCCAGTGGCAACAGATTGTGGTTGCCTAGGGATCCACCGGGATGGCTGTATATGAGATTGTTCTGGTTGCTAACAGGAATGGACACGGGCATGTCGTAGTTCGATGGGGGCACGGCCTGCTGAGAAGATAGAGAGACATAAACATGGGTGTGATTAGACTAAAGATTGCAATGATTCTGATGCTTGAATTGTTATAAAACAAGGTTTTCGAAGTATGAGACAGAAAGAGAGAGGAAAAAAGCATGACAGGTCAGAAATAGTCCAGGAACACAAAGAAACTTAAAGAGTGAAGTTTAATCGGACTAATGGACAGATGAACTGTACAGAACTCCTTACAGCAAAGAATAAAAATACAAGATAGCAGAGTTGGGCAAAAGCAGCACTGCATGAAAGACAAAAGGAAAACTCCTTTCAGAGTTACTCAAATTGCCTCAGTGATTATATAAATGGACTGGCGGTACTTTTTCATTTCAGTGTGATCGAGTTACTTTGGAGGCTACTAATGTCTTTACGCAGGAGTCAAGTGCTGGCCCTGACATCTTGTAACATTTGCCATTGTAAAGTCAAAAGGCTGACCAAAGGAAATATTATGCTGAAGTCATTACAGTCATACATAAAAAAATGGAAGGCTGTGGTTCACAGGGAACAAAGCCAATCGTTTTCCACTGTCCCAGTGCTTAAGATAATTCAGTCTATCTTCACCTCACTAACAAGCCTGCAGAATATCTTGCAAAAGTAAAACGGCACAAGAGAACACAATGGGGGATCACTTATTTTCAGATCATATGGAGCTTATGTAAAGTGTTTTAAGTGACGCACTCAGATCAGTCAATAGTCTCACCAGGAACATGAAAAGCCTCCGGCATCTAGTTTGTCATTTTTATTGTGTCACTTGGCATAAGGATTTAACCTTGGGAGTGCCCTGGAAGTGGTTGATCCTGCATTGTTAGTTTTAGGAAGTAGAAAATAGCGCCCTAAATTACTGCCATGTGTCTCAGAGCCATGGAGGGAGTGCATCAGGGAGATCATCAGCCTGGCTCATGTGGAAGTGGGCGATGTGCCTCAGCTTCTTTAATTTTCTCCCCTCTGCTAATGTTCTGTTAGCAGGCCAAATATTATTTCAATGTACAAAGATGATTACTCTAACCATATTTCATTATGGGCCTCTCCACGTTTCGCTTTAACTGCGACTTTGCACGGGAGTGGCTAGCCAAAACCTATATATGCTATGTTTTTTCGAGGGTCTGTCTCTGGTTCTGTTTTATTTATTCCCACCCACCCTATTACTTTTTCCATCTCTGACTCTTTGGTGGACTTTTTTGACCTAATTGGTCCCGGTGAACTATTATTTACAAATGTGTGAGCTGTCGTCGAACATGCACATTTCTGCATGTGTACACACACACACACACACACACACTCTACTGCTGGGTGTAAGGGCCCCGTTTCTGAGCTGTCCTTTAACTGGTGCCATCCTTCCTGTTTTCACTCATCTTCCTCCTTTGCCTCTCCCCGCAGTCCCCTCAACAGTCCCCTGCAATCCAGAGGCCCAGTGCTTGGCAGCCACTCTGACCACACACTGAACTGCCACTTGTTGTTTGCAGAACCCCACCCCACCCCCTCCATCTCCCCCACCACCACTCAACCCCACCCATTCTCCGATCCCAAACACACCCCACCTCACCCCGACGCACCACCCCAGCTCACCAACCACTGCCTCGCTTCTAACCACATCTCCTCCTACTCCACGCGGCTCAGACACTACTCTTCTTCTCTGAGTGATTTACCTTGGAATTATCTCTTTGCTCCGTATGGCCGAAGCGCTAACCATTCTATAATGTGCTCTCTGAATGAGTGGCGAGCTCAGTTTACATAGAAAGAAGGCCTCGATTTTGTGGTTTCTGGCAACTAGCTATAGGTTGAAGTCTTCTGTAAAGTTGACACTACATAATATAAATCCAGCAGATAACACATCTAGGCATATACAAAGCTACAAAGGCGTTTGCCTGAGGAGAGATAAGCAAGTTTTTTGAGTTAGGAAGACGTGCTTATTAAGAGTGTTCGAATGCCTGCAGCTGTTTCACTGCCAACACTGTCTGTCCCTGTTGTTGCAGGTCACAGACCACTGGGTTTTGGTGCAGGAAAAGGAAAAGCGCATGCAGACCACACCTCTCCTGAGAGCCAGGCAAGGCATTATGGGTAGAGCGGGTTGAAGGTGGGAACCGGGTGAGGTTAAAATTTGTCATAAAAGAAAGTATGCTGTTAAATCAGCAAACGTGCCTACTAGTTATGGTTGCAGACATGTCAAATTAAAGGACCATTCCTCTACTGTAAACAGGAAAATTCAAAGATCTGTAATTTTGCAGAGTGCAATTTTACCCCGATCTTACTCTCACTCTCACTTTGTGTAATTAGTCTGCTTCCAAACAATGGTGGTTAGCTGGGTTAGCGCAACAGTTACTTGCCAGTCAGCATTTTGTCAGCCTGCTGAGTATAACCCAGTACTTACAGGTATCTTATGAGTTTTAATCATGTGATCAAACTCTTCGTTAATCTGTTTGTATTTCTCCTCAGTGTGCGGGGTGAGGATGAGCGCAGACTCGAGCTCCGGGCTCTCGCCACCTTTGTTCTCCTTCTTGCTCAATGCCTGCCAGGTCCCACAACCACAGAGAAGGATGGAGGGGAGACACACACATGAAGGGACGGCGAGATGGACGGTAGGAACAGATGACGATGACAGGGATGAAGCAACAGAAAGCATGTGGGGGGAGGGAGAGAGAGGAAAGAAAAGGTGAGAAGAAGGCTCTGGGTTTAACAAGAAGTACTTACACACAGTCTCTGTCTGCTGATCATCAGATCAATGTCCTCGTTTATTTTCCTGTACTTGTCCTCAGACTCGGGGCTGTGGCCAACCGAGTCATCTGCGTCGGGATCTGGGCTGTCACAGCCGTTTAGGCCCTTCTTTCTCAATGTCTGCAAACAGAGCAGTTGCACAACATAGTTGAAGGGCTTTGGGGTAGGGAAGAGAAACCCAGGTGAACAGCTTCGGAGGGACATAACGGTAATGAAGTGTGAGGAGGTTCATTTTCGAATGCAAGTCTGATCAAAGGACATCTTGAAAAAAAAGAAACACTTTGGAAAAGTTCTTAAACTGATGTGGTTTTATATCAAATTAAAAAACAAAGAACAAATCTGGCTTAATGCGTAGGGTAATGAGATCTTTGCTACAAATTATCTTAATTTTTAAAAAAGCTTTAACAAAAAAAACGCTCACGGTATGAACTCTAACAAGATGGTATGGGGCGAGGACACACAGCCTATTTTTATGAACAAGTAAACATGCCGCTAAACACAGAAAAAAAAAGGCACAAATGATTCAATCACATTCAATAACAAGACATAACAGAATGACAAATCAAGGGGGGACCTTAAAACCTCATAATTGCACAGAAAAGGGAACAGTCATAAAAGTAAGACATATTTTACAACCATAATTATCAGCGGGCCGTGAAATAGAATTAAAATACAGCCGAGGTGCACAAGTTTACGAGTGTTGGTGTATGCGCTATTAAATGTGGCAGTTTCTGTTCTGGCCACCTGATGGCCACCTGCCCCCATTAGAGTGGACAGAAAATAGCACGCTGAAAGAAGAAGGGGGAAAAAAGCGCACGCACACTCTCCACTCGATCACCACTCCCTCTCACTGGAGGAGAGAGACAGACAAAGAGAGCATTGGAATAAATAAGAAAACGAGAGGTGGTGGTGGTGGTTGGCGCGGGGGGGCTGTATCTGTAGCTGTCTCTGTCCTTTTTTAGATATTGTTGACAACCTTAACAACAGGGATAAGTTTCAGAGCGCATTACTGTGTGTGATAGCACGAGGGTATGTTTGCTTGAGCAAGTGGGCATGTAACGATAGGTGCTGTGTTCATTTGCCTCGCAAAAGTGAGAGAGACAAAGACCGAGCGGCAGAGAAGAAAAGTACAGTAGCTGACAGTTAGAGAGATCTCATCAAAGACACCACCTCCTCCTCCTCCTCCTCCTCCTTCTCCTCTCCACCACACGCCACCCCCCCTCACTCCCCCTTGCCTCTCTCCTCCTGGCTTTAATAAAGGGAGATTAGTCTACAGGAGGAATATCACGGGCCTGCTCCTGTCTGTGCAGTCATCGCTTCACACTGCGCTCTCCTACTTTCATCTGAAGCTCCATATCAGACAGACGTAATTAAATTTACTTTAGCACACCTTGTATTTGATGCTGATCAAGTGTGTGAGAGTGTGCGCTTCTCTGTATATGTTGTATAGTGTGTGTGTGTGTGTGTGTGTGTGTGGGTGGGGAAAGAGGGGAAGGAGTCTGTGTGTGTGTGTGCATGTGTGGGTGTGTGAGAGTGGGTGTTAGAGTCAAGAAAAAAGAAAGAGCGACTGAGCAGGAGAAAGGAGGAAGATAGATGCTAAGATAAGTTAATCTCGGTGAACTTCTTCCTCTCATTTGTTTGTCTCTGTCAGTACTCACTCACAGAAGAGATACGAGTGCTAGCTACTCCATCACAACCAGCAGCAGAAGTGACAAGGAGTGATCTGCCTGCTTAGAAAACAAATAAAAATCCAGTCATCTCTCATGTCAGCACAACAAAGGCCTGTTTTGAGTGTGGTTTTAGTGAACTTAGAGGGCTTCTTTTGTGTGTTGTGTGATAACTGTTTGATTCCTGAGGCGTCTCGTGGCGAGGCAGCTACTGTAAGTGTGTCAACATTTGCTGGCTCTCCTTTTTCTCTCTCTGAATCCTCACTTGGCCCCTGGAGTGGAAATCTGGAATTCTGAATTTGAAAGCATCTCTCACATCTTTGACAGTCTTCAGGAAATCACACCAAACAAATCACGCTAGGCGATGCAGGAGATCTGACTTCCAATAGACCTACAGTGAATCAGGCACTCTTGCTCTATCTGAGGAGGATGAGTCAAGAGAACAAAAGGGGCACAGAGGTTTAGCATGCTGTCTTTTTTGGCAAAGGCGTGAGATGTAAAACTTTGCTATTTCTTTTGCGTAGTTTCAATCTGGCCTTGGCGATGTATCATATCGAACTGACAAGAGCTGAACCACTGGCCTTTTTCTGCTCACATGAGAATGCATGCAAGGAAAAAAAAACAACAAACAAAAAAAAAAAAAGAAGAAAAAACAAAACAACTTTTCTTCCTACTTGCATAGATTTCCACCTACTGCCACCAGCACATGAGTCCATGAGAGAGTTACTTCCATTCTTGGAAGAATAGCTGTGGAGCATTGCTGGGAGAGGAGAACGGGGGCTGAGTTAAAGGTGACACCCATATGGGGTAATTGAGCTGGTGGTGTAGCAGTAGTTGGGCAATAGTTGCTCTGTGTGTTTATGGAGGTGCATTTAGCCAGGGCGTGAGTATTGCATGACTGACCCAGGCTTAGCTTTCCAGCAGGCCTCGGTTTATTTAGGGTGCAGTACAAAGATGTTATGCCATTCATCTCAGTTATGCCCACCTGTTTAAAGGCATCACACCTGTTGCCAAAGGCCTAGCATACAACCCAGCAACCAATCAGAACTGCTGAAGAGCTCATGTAGCCTTAGAAGGACTTCTCCCTCTTCAGCCTTCCACCTCACCATCCTGCTGCCCTACTTTCAAGCCATCCTATGTGTTTTACCCTCCTCTAATAGCCCATTGCTTTATCTGCTCCTTGAATATGCCACTGAGTGCTGCTCCAAACTTTCAGTCTGTTATACAGCAACATCACCATTATACAAGGCACATCCAAGACTTATATTTCAAAATAATGGGGAGAATAATGATCAGTGAAAAAAAAGGTTGCTGTTGTAATATTGAGAGAAACAGGAGTACAGGAATGAAGACTTGGCATGAAAATGGAGTCTTTGGGGAATACGGTAATAGGATGAGGATTAAACAAAAACACTTTGGTGCAGTTCACTTGTGGCAATAATTTTATGCACAAAGAATTCCCCCACATTCTCATGCCTAAATTAAAATTATTCAATATTCTAAGTAACTTCATTTTCTTTCTGTATTCTTAAAAAAGAAGCTAATCTTTTGGCTGCTGGCATAAATGAGCATTATTTAAGTTTATAGCGTTTTTATTACCCCGGTTTGCGATGACTGACATTTTTTTCACATTAAATATTACCCTCTGCTGCCGTGTTGTGAATCACAAGAAAAAAATGGCCAAACGGGGACACCAAATTATGAGGAGAAAGTGTGAGAGGAAGGAGGTTAGAAGACAGCAAAATGCTACGGCGATGTAAAGAGTCACGCAGAATGCTATAGAGAGTTCGTGCTGTAAATGTGAGAACGAGGAAGGTGGGATGTAAAGTATGGCGAGGAGCAAAGACAGCAAAAAAGCTGTGTCTTCTTGCTTGGCTCTGTGTTTCTCTCTCTGGCCCCTTTGGAGGCTTGCTCCTAATTAAACTCCTTCTTCATGATGCTCCCTCATGACTTGACTCACAGGGCCTGTGTGAGGCAGGCACAGCATAGACAAGGTGTCCTACATACTTGAGACGCCCGTCTCATTGGTACCCTTCAGTTTTTACACCCTCAGCTAAGCTGGCCTAGACTGGGGCTGGTGTAAGAGGAACGGCAGGACGCCGCTGTAAAAACCTAACGGAGGTAACCCGAGCTGAGACCGAGGCCGGCTTGAGCTACAAAGAAACTGATTCACATTCTAACACGCTTGCCGTTCCCTAATGTTTTAATTGCAGGAAAACGCTTGCTCTATATTCACTTCATAGGTTGGGGGTGTGAGCGATAACTTCATTTAGCTCCTGAGAAAAACAGCGGAGAGTATTTGGGTGTGAATCCCGGGTGGCCCCAGGGAGTCTGCTAGGGACAGCTGACGCCTGCCCAGAGCTCCTGCCATACCAGGATCCGTCTGCTCGGCATTCTGCCACCCTGTTCACCCTCTCTATCCCTCAATCCGTCTTTCTGCCCCCATATTTCTGTCTCAGTCTGTTGCTCAGTCTGTCTCTGTCTCACCACCTCTGCGCTAGTCCCCTAATTTTCTGCAAGACCACCACATCTCGACAGAAGCTCAGTCAAACACTGTTGACTTGACGGGTACATCTTTATTTCTGATAGACTCTGGGCAGTTGAGGATTTGTGTTTGGAAAGAGCTCCATTGTTGACCATTTTCCCTCTGTAGTTATGCTGGCAGTGGCTGAAGGCTACGACACATTCAATATTGTGTTTATAGCTATTGGCGACGGTCAGGCCAGCGAATGTTCCTCAGTGTCTTCAACCCAATAACAGGGAGCATCGGCGCAAAGGCGCTCCACCAAACAGCCAGTGTATTACAGGCCATTTATATCTCTGTCAACACTGTGTGATCTTCAGCGCACATGCACTACGGTAAGCTAAACCCAGAAAGAAAATAATATATAATAGCGGGAATGTTTCCCACCATAAATGGACCCGGTTTATGGGGTTTGTGGCATATTTCAGCAGTGGGTGGGAAACAAGTCTGTGATAGACAAGTGCAATATAAAAACATCAGTAACAGCGCCACTTATGGTTAATCATGATTGCTGTGCTGTTAAACTAAAATAAAACGGCACTCAAATGAAATCTTTTGTCTAGAAGGCTCCAACCTTGCAATTGTTGCACTATTAAAAATGGCTTTACTTTATTCCAGCTATCAAACATTCTCAGTAAGCAGACTGTATATATCGTATTTTGCAAAGTGTGAGGAGTCAATGTAGGCTGGGGTGTGTATCTAGTTTAGAAAACCATCTCTTGTCACATTGGTGAGAAGCAAAGGGGTTTTGTGTCCATAGGGGCGCACAGACGAATAGAAACATTGTCTTTCTTATCAAAAATAAGATGGAGGTAGTCATGAAGTGGACCTACTGTGGATTAAGACCTCCCAGCGCCAATTCACAATAAGCACCAGCAGGGTGGTCTTCCTGGCGGCAGGGAAGAGGTAATAGCATGTCTGAGATGTGA